GCAGTCCAGCGGCAGGAGCTGAGTGCCAGCTGGCGCCGTCGTGAGTGACAGGCCCGCGCCAGTGCAGGTGTGCTGCTACGAGTTGTCGTCGGGGCGCAGCGGCTACGCGATCACCACAGTTTGATGTCGTGGCAACATCGCGGAGGAGGTAAAGGGGGCTGCACGGGCAAGGGCAGGGGCAAGCAGGTCGTGCCTGTCCCGCCGCCGCCACGAGCATGGCGATGCGAGCAGTGCGGCGAACCCAACATGATGCAGGATAGTCCGTGCAGAGTGTGTTGCCCAATGCCTGCCCAAGCGCCGTGGGCCAATGTTGGGCCACCGCAGCAGATAAAAGGCAGGCGACAGCAGACGCCAAACCCGCAGTCCGATCAGCGTGCCCGATCGTCGGGGAGGACGGCTGGTCGTAGTCAGCAGGGAGAACGTGCTGATAGACGACGACGACGTGGTCGTAGTCAGCAGGGAGAACGTGCAATGGCTGGTGCCGCCGCAGCCGAGGCCATGCTCCCGCGTCGGCTGGTGCCGACGCCGGAGCCTGAGGCGGAGGCTGCGCCCGAGCCTGAGGCTCGCAGAGGCCGCGCGACGTCTGGGCCGAGGCGGACCCGAGCCTCGTGTCGGTCGAAGTCGGCGGATGTCACGTCCGAGGAGTCCGTGGTCGAGGAGGGCACGGACACGGAGGACTCGGCGGCGCAGCCGACAGGAGTGTTGCCTGCGCTCCCTGAGGAGGCCAGGGCGCACCCTGCATGGCAGGAGCTACCTCGCACTAGTGAAGCAGTGCAGGCACACAGGAGGCATCTTCGTCGACTGGTCATCGCCTCCGCCAAGAAGTTGCGTTCAAGTCCGCAGCCTGGGCGTCATGTATGCGTGATCAACGATTTGGCGCAGGAATGTGCAGTCCTCCTGACCATGATAATAGTGTGCAGATCGCAGACGGCCAGTCTCCAGCAGACGGACAGGCTCCAGATGGAGCTGGCCGAGAGGAGGATGAGACGGACACAGGTTGACTTCGTTGAGACACAAGCTACCCTCGTGCACATGTTAGTTGTCCTGACTCAGCGTTACAATGAGTTGGCGAGGGCGCAGCTAATGTTACGCCAACTGGAGACGCACTACCCTGAGCCGAACAGCGATGTCATGATGTCGCCGATGGCAGCCGACATCACGGAGCTCCAGCGGGGCCAGGTGAACATGGCGCAGCAGTTGTTGGGGCTGTCGTCGGTGCTCGGCGAGCTGCAGGCGACGTTCGGGCAGCTCGCAGCAGGCGCGGCACAGGGACAGCAGCCTACAGCAGTGGCACCAGCAGTCCCAGCGCGGGAGGCGGAGGTATTTGCACCGCAAGGCCCTGCCGCGTCCGTGGTAGGGTCGGGTGCGCCCATCCTGACACAGGCCCAGGCGTGCGCCGCGGCAGAACTACAGGCAGATGTCGATGGCGGGCATGGCGGTCCTGTGCCAGAAGATGCTGGTGATGGAAGAGCAGGTGCACAGGCCTCCACGTGGCCGCTCCTCGGACAACACGTTCAACGGGGACTGGGCGGGTAGATGTAGGAGTGGTGTGTGTAGTGGTTGTGTGTCCCCCCTGGTAGTGTGCATATTGTTTCTATCCACGGTATTCCATTGTAAAGCTATGGACGTGGCTAACCCCAACCCCTTTAGGGGTGCCCCCACTGGCGCTGCTGGGGGAGAAGATCTGGTGGGTGCGCTTCGTGGTGCCTCTGGGTGGGCGTCGGACGGGTCTTCTTCCGTGGTCTCGGCTTGGATTGGGGGCGGGAGTGCACAACCCCTCCGGGGCGAATCGACGGCGGGGGCGGTTGGGTCCTCGGGCCTTTCCCCTGCCTCGCGCTCCGAGAGGGCAGGCGGCTGCGCCTCTGGCCCCGGCGAGTCGCACAGGGCGCCTTCGGACACGCGTTGTCGGATGGAGCTCCTACAGGGCCCTCAGAACACGGACCGGCCGACCAGGTGTCAGAGACGATTGGGGCGCATCAGGAGATGGAAGACGGTTCAGAAGGCGAGGAAGTCTCGAGCGAAACGGTGTCGTGCTTTCTATCGCTTGTCTCTGTTGAGGAAGTCTCGAGCGAAACGCGTGAGTAAAGGTTCGGAGGAGATCTTCCTCCGGGGAGGAACCTGGAACACGCGCAAACTGGGATCGAGTCGTGGGTATGAGCCATCGCAACTCAAGCTTGAGTGCTTTTTGCAACTGATGGAAGCTCGTAGGTGGGAGTTTGGCATGTTCACGGACGTCAACTTTTATCAGAATGGCGTCCGGGAGTATGATGTTGGGACAGAGGTATGGACATTTGTCATTCGGGGCAAAGTGTGTGTGGTACTGAATCAACGCCTTACGGCATTATGGAGGGAGGGATGATCGAGGGTAGTCGTTAGGGGGAAGTGGGATAGGAAGGGGGTGCGGGTCATGGGGGTTGTGTTGCCCCGGGAGGGCCAACGTCGTGGACTCTCCTTGGTTGCTTGTTACGCCCCCGTCTCGGGCACCGCCAATGAGGAAACA